TTATCCTCTCTCCTCAACCTATCCTGTCTCTCCAAATACATTTCAAACCTTTTACGATCCATTCTCAGTCTGTTGCTTCTTTAGGTAGTAGTTACACCTTAATTGCTGTCTGTGCAAATACTTGTGTAGTGGTGTTATCCAATATGGCAGTAACACTATGTCATACTGAGGCCTAGTCTACACTACTGTGGGATGTTGATTTAAGTTATGCAACATCAGCTATGTGACTGGTGTATCTTCACTATGTTAAGTTGACAGCTGATGCTCTCCCATTGACTCCCTTTACTCTCCTTTTCCTGGGGGAGTATCGGAGTCAATGGGAGAGTACTCGGTGGTTGATTTATTGTCTGTGATAAATCAACCACTGCTGGATCCATTGCTGCTCATCAAGTGGGGTGAGGGGGTAGTGAACACAGCCCAAGGCTAAGTCTTCTGTGTTTGTTGCATTCCCTGGGATATCTACTGTAAGGTTCTTTGTTCCTTGTAATAAGGCCACAGCAGTTTTTGTATGCTACTCTGAGCTCTCTGGAGGCTTCCTGCAGCTCTACTCTTCTCTAGTCAGTTAGCAATTCTCTCCCATTCCCCCACCTTTCTGGAAATGTAGGCAGCAGGAACCATAATACTTCTCTATTCCTTAGGGATGGACAGCAGGCTATCTGGTTCAGAATTTGTTCTATGCTAAGAAGACCAAGGCAGAATGGATACGGTTCCTTCCACTCTATTCTGGAGTTCTCAGAGAAGCCTGGGAGTGAGGAAAAAAGGAGACCAAAGTGTATCTAGAGCCAGGGGAGAGTGTTCTCATTTGAGGGTGGAGGGGTGTAATGGGAACTTGCCGCCATTAGAGGGCCCGTTCTTTTTTGTGCTACTTTATAACATACACAAATTAAGCCCATTTCAGTATATTGTTTACATTAGAAATTGAAGGCCTAGCCTGCCCTGGCTGGCAGCTGGATAAGTAGTGAAGGGTGTTAGAAAAGAAACAGGCTGACCCCTTGGGGGATGGGGTAACAGGGCTTCTTTATTGCTGAGACTCGTTCCGTCTGGGATCCCACCTACCTGGGATGTGAGTGAGCAACAAATTTACCCAAGTACACCTTTTTAGCCTAATTAGTATGTAAATACATTTATAAATTACATTACTTTTTAGGCCCTAATTTAGTAGCATGAACACCCATATAATGCATAATCATGACCATGTGGTGAATATAATTATACCCACCCGTTTACAGCTTTTTAGCTGATGTCTGCAGGTTTCACACCACAAAACTCCTGGAATCAGTAACTTACAAAGGGTACAAGAGATGTAACCCTGAGGCTATGTCTACACTATGGCTTTTGCCGGAAGAGGCAATGCAAATGAAGTGCAGATTAGCATTTTCTTGTGCTTCATTTGCATAATCTCTTCTGATCCGTTTTTGCGCAAGGGGTTTTTGTGCAAAAACATGCAGGCTACGTCTACACTGGCCCCTTTTCCAGAAGGGGCATGTAAATTTCAGCAGTCGTCGTAGGGAAATCCGCGGGGGATTTAAATATCCCCCGCGGCATTTAAATAAAAATGTCCGCCGCTTTTTTCCGGCTTTTAAAAAAGCCGGAAAAGAGCGTCTAGACTGGCCCCGATCCTCCGGAAAAAGTGCCCTTTTCCGGAGGCTCTTATTCTTACTTCAAAGTGTAGACGTAGCCGCAGTGTGGCCATGGCCATTTTGAGCAAAAACTCTTTTGGCGCAAGATCCTTATGCCTCCCTGTATCCATTTTGCACAAAAAACGGATCAGAAGAGATTATGCAAATGAAGCGTGAGAAAATGCTAATCCCTTTGCATTGCCTCTTCTGGCAAAAGCTGTAGTGTAGACAAAGCCTTAATTTATGATTCACAGTGGATAAGGGGTATGGAAGATAACAAATGGCTTGTGTATTAGCAATGCTAATAAGTTACATCTTGGGTACAGCTGCATTTCTCTCTCTCCCAAGCAAGCAGGAAAAGAAAACTCATGGCACCGCTATATATCAGTAGAGACAGTGTCTGCCCGCAGCATGCCCCCACCATATTAGGGATGTGAAGCACTACTCGACTATACAATAAGCAAATGCTTATCGGATAGTTGACAAGTTTGTCGACTAGTCGCTCCCCACCCCCTTGCTGGCGGGGGGGGGGAGGAAGGTGGGGGTACTTCAACGTGGCAGCGCGGGGAGCCCAGCCTCAGGCTCCTCGTGGCATTTCAAAGTGGCAGCACCATGTGGAGCCTGGGAGGCCCTGGGTGGTGCTGCCACTTTGAAACGGCGCCTGTTGCCTGGGAACACCCCAGCTGGCTGCACACGGTGTTTCAAAGCAGCAGCCGGAGGTCAGCAGTCCTCAGCTGATCCCGGGCTCCACGCAGCACTGCGAAGAGCAGGATGCTGGGCTCCCCACGGCGTTTCAAAGCGGGTCACAGAGCCCAGGGCCAGCGGGGGGGTCCCACATGGCGCTTTCCCCTTTAAAGTGCTGCAGCAGCCCTGGGGCTGTTTCCACTCTTCAGCCTCTGGAAGAGTCGCTATTTAACATCCCAGCACCTACCCAGGCCCCTCCCACATCCCAACCAGGGGCAGCCCGTGGAGGGGAGGAGCCTGGTGGCCCCTGTGCTGTGCCCCGGCAATGCGGGGGAAAGGCGGCGCCTCCCTGCAGGCAGGGGCCCGGCAGCTCCTCGCGCACAATCCCCCCACGCCGCTAGGGGACCCTCCAGCAGTGGCAGGCCAGAGCCTGCCGCGCCACCTGCTGCCTCGTAGGAAGAACAGCGCGCGTCAGACGTGGGGACACACCATAGAGACCACAGCATAGAAAGTCGTTCTCGTAGCCTTTCCCCGCCCCCTGATTTCAAGGAGGAGACGAGGGCCGTTGACGCTATTTCCGGGTGAAAGGTTGTGCATCTGGGATTGGCTGGTTTTCCCCCC